TGTGTTTCACAGTGGCACCACTAACAGCCAAACACGATGGCCATGTCAAGTTTTGCCTTGTAAAGGTGTAGTGCACTCTCAGAGGAAATACAAAACTCTTCTCTTTTGGTTCAACAAACGGCAGTTAAGTCCCAAAAATGTAGGTTGGTTGGTTCTCCTAGCACCTATTTGCACATTTTTAACAACAAAGTCATCTTAAAAAATATTTAAAAGTAATCAGATCTTTGCCTAAATTCTTGCTGTGGAATATAGAAGTAGATAGTGATGGGAGTGAGCAGGTTGAGACAGTTGCTGATGCATTTGAACGCTTAAGTCTCACAAAAGAGAATCAGCATTTGACAGCATTTCATGTACTGAAGTCGGTGCATTTGAAGAGTATCAGAATCGGTTTTACCTACACAGACACATGTACACTTTGATCTTTTTCTGAATAATTTTCTAGGACTTTGTAGCCAAATGCCTTTAGTTAGGAATATGTATCTACACACATTGAAAACAAACAACACTCACTTTATAGCTGCACAAAACAAACACAAAAAGCCTTAGCTGCACAAGGGTATGTAAGCAGCCAAGCTTAAAACATTTTCCGCTCTTTCAACACAACTGAAAAGCAAATTAAAATGGACAAATAACTCGCAAGAAATTGCTGCCTGAAATACATGGATTTTCCTGTCACGGCCTCATGAAGCTGAAATTATCCAGCATGCAAAGAGCACTGTTAATTTTTACCATAAAGAAATGAAAAGCATTTATAACCATGCTAGAAACTAGGATTATTTAACAATGGATGCAAGAACAGCTAGATCTGTATTCTGAAAGTTGAGCATCATGCTAGGGATGTTTCTTCCTAAAAAAAGAAAAATAATAATAATAAAGAAAAAAAAGCACGTCCAACACATGCTACTTAGGAGAAGCATTTGGCTCAAAAAACACAGAGCAAAGCCAAGAAATAACCAAACTGAATGTTTCTGCACTACAGGTATTGCCCTCTCAACCCACTGGTGTTCATGCCTCTTCCCATCTCTCTCAGCACTGGTTAGTTCACCTTCAGCATGCATAAGAGTTGATGAGGAACTGTCCCTCCTACTCTACCTAATTTTGCTCAGCTGATTCCTTGCCCTGGACAATGGCTGCAGTGCGATGAACTCGTCACTTAAAGCAACTCTGTTGGAGTACATCTACAATTGGACAGAGAAGGGATGGAACATACATGTCAGTAAGTAGCAGCAGTAATTTTCTAAGAGAAAGACACAGGACAACACATTGTTATTTAAAGTGGAATACACATCATATACAGAACACAAGCCTGGTACCTTCAAGAGAGCTCCTGGGATAATCACAGCCAGTTACTGTTTGGTAGGACCAATCTTATTGTACTTGTACTTTCAATACTGAGAAAAAGGCCTATGCACTTTTACATCCGTGCTTTATTCTGCATTACTCTCTGCCCTCAGTAGTGCTGTGATTTATATTTACCCAAAGATTTATACTTTGATTCACATTTACCTTGCTGTCCACTTCCTCCTATATGATTCTGTGACAGGCCTAGAGTGAGAAATGGCCCACAAGCTATCTTAGGGTAACTCATAAACATGAGATGGCTTTTCTTTAGGCCAGCAAAAAGCCCTTGCAACAGAGCAAAAATAAAATAAAGTAACATTTGCCTTAAGTGCATTAAGGAAGGTAAAGTTAACAAAATTCATCCCTCTATAATAATCAACTCATACTTGCCTGTCAAATTTTTAATCTGCTTATTTCCCGAAATGAAAGGGCGAGATATGAGTTGCTGTGACAGAACAATATTTACATTTAAAAGTCTATCAGGTGTTTCTCATATCAGTTAAATTTCTCTGTTTTCTTATGAATAACTTTGCTACATGTAACATCTGGCTGATCAAAAACAGACTGAATGTCGATGCTACGACCTTGTACAAATAAAAAGATAAAATCAAGTTCCTCATATGTTAAGTGGGGTGCCTGCAGACACTGAATTCAGAGCAGTAACTCAGGTAAGTCACACAACTAATGTGCTCTTGGTTTCTGAAAAATTCAAACAATAGAGGCAAGCATTTCATTTTCAGCTGAGGAACCTGTGAAGGTTCCTGGGAAGAGTTTAGAATTGAAATAGTGGCAGTCAGAGACAACTGAAATAGCTGCAATTTAAAAACAAGTGACTAGTTCAATTACAATTTATCTCACCATGATAAAAACTGTAGTAGCTGTGAATTTTTTCTTTCCCCCAGTATGAAAATATACTAATTCAGTCCCTACAATTTAAAATAATTAAAAATATTCAGCTAGACACAGGATGCATCTGCACTATGAAAAACAGCATTTAATAGAGCAATATACAAAGTTCCATATTTACTCTTTTAATGACTCTTTTAATTGCTCTTTGATGACTTCCACAGAAGTCATCAGCATTAGACAGCACCCCTAGCATTTGGGACAAAGACATTCTCCAAACCCTTTCTACCTCAGAGTCTCTTCCTCTGCTTTGAAACTGAAAGAAAAATATTTACTAGAAATTTTAAACACATGTAATGAAGAAGCACAAATGTTGTCAAGAAGGGACAGAACGCTAAGTTGATCATCTGCTCCTCTTCACTTATTAGTACTTCCACACTTCAAGAATAGTAAATGAAATTCAATGGAGCTGACTGTCCCATTAAGAGTGGGAAAATCTCGACAGATTAAACCTCAAGAAAGGAACAAAGAGGTGTTTCCTTTTCATAAATACATTTTTAACTATGATTTCACTATCAGACACACACAGAGAAACCACGGGATGGCTGCTGAAGAATTTCTGGTCAAATCAAATTGCAGCATCAGGAATTAAGAGTTTTCAGGAAAAAAGACAGTATTTTGGTAAACATACACCCTACTGCTGACTGTCAAATGCAATGTAGAAAGGGAATAAGAAAAAAAAACAAACAAAGAAACCCCCAACCAACCAAACCTAATAGAGATGCACAAAGCAAAATCCCCATGGCTAGGAATCAAGCTATAGCCACGGGAAAGATGTTAGACATTCATCAAGATTCCTTTTTAAAAATAAGAAGTCCTACTGTGTCCTTGACAACACAACTGTAATGGCAGCAAATTGAACCCAGAAATTCTTTAGAATTGATTCAGAAAGCAAAAGAATGCAGCAAGAAGTACATGGATAAAGGCAGGGAAAAATCATGTGGCTTTCTGGGTTTTAATTCAAGCACTTTAGGAAAATGAGAAACCTCAACGACCACACCAATACAAAGCCAAACAGCAACAGCTGATGCACAGGAAGGAAGGAAAGGGAAGTGTTTGATAAATATTGTCACTAGTTTTTCCAAAGGAAAAGACAAGTAAGTATCATTACCTATTGCATTTTTCCTTTAATCCAAGAAGTGCAGTAATGTGCAATCCAGAGTCTTATCAGGTCTAACTCAAGAGTCTTCTGCAAGCCAGTGGTTATTTACCTTGACTTTTAGCTACTAAATTCCAAGACAGAAAAAATCAGCCAATATTCCAGTTTTGAAAAGGGAATAATGGGATACTTTGGACAGCAATAGGCTTGTCAGGATGATGTTGACCTGAGGCAAAGTAAGAGAACGTCGCACGTGGATTTTTTTTTTTTTTTAACACACAAATTAGAAGGGTAATATAATTTAAGTAAATCAACATGCACTTACATCAAAGTAATTACAAGGTTAGATGCTAAAGATAACAGCATTGATGTAATGCTGTCAGGGGTTCTGCATGGCACAGAGCTCAGAGTAATTTGGATTAAGCAACTAGGACACCACAAAATCAATCTGGCACACAGATGGACTAAAAGCTGCTAAGAGGTTTCAGACCAGAGCTGTGTATGGCATCTTTGTCAGCTGGGTTCTTCATTCACTCTTTTTTGGCCCTGTGCTATTTAACCTCTCATCAACAACCCGAAAGAAACCAACACCAGCCCTTGCAGATGAGCAGAAGATGCAGAAGACAACAGGTTCTGGATGTACATTATTCTGTAAACTGAATACAGCTGAGGGATTTATTATTTCCATACTTGGCACTGATGTCTGCTGTGCTGGAATATGCTGTCCCCTGGTGAAATCCAAAATTCAAGATGAGGTTGAGGAATGTTGAAGATTACAGGAAAAACACAAGACTCATGAAAAGACTGTAAACCAACCTTTTTGACAAAAGATGCAAGTCCAGTCCACCTATCAGTGTGAAAATGAACTTGCTCACAAACCTAACTGTGAATAAACAAAACACTGTAACAAAAGGCTTCTCAGTTTAGCAGAAAAAGTCTAAAAAGATAAAATGCTGGAAAGTGAAACCAGAGAGAGAGCCACTATGAGAACAATGGGTCAGGATGACTTCTCCATAACTGTCACTAAAAAGAAGAAACACCCAGAGATGAGATATTTACCTAAAAGACAGCCCAATTTCAACAGAATGATTGAAAGGATGTTTTGTAGCCTGTGTCAGGCAAAAGGAAGATTTTACTATCACAGCATATCTTTAAGACCTTGTCTATGAACCTGTGGAACTGCCACATGGGTAATTAGCTTTAACTACAGGATCAACAGTCAAATTCATAGCATGTGACAGGATCGAGATTTAAGAAATACTAACTAAAAAAGTCCTAATAAAGTAATTTTAAAAATTATTGTTTCCATCACATTTTAAGAACTACTCCATGGCAACTACAGTTGTAGCCTCTAATACCTAGACAAAAATGAGAGTAAGTTACCATCTTTAACACAGGACAAATATATGCAGCATGATCCTCCCATACAGCTGTAAGCTGAGATGTGAAAGACTGAGTGACCTCTCCATATATCATTCTGTTCTTGTTTTTATCAATTACTCAAAGAGAAACTGCCTTGTCAAATGGTGTCCTCACTTTTGTAATTTTAAATTAACAACTGTATTCTGAAATGAGAACACTTCTATGCATTAAACAGGACAGCAATGTAAGAGGATAACTATTGGTGAAGTTGGATACAAAAGCATAGTATTACCTGAGCTTTTTCAGTACTTGTTGGTTGCAGATGTCTGTACAGCACTTTCTTCACAACATCAATAAACAAACAAGCAACTACGATGAGGATTATGGCAAACCAAGCAGAACCACTTGACAACAGCTGAACAAATACAAAGTACATGTCCTGGGTATGTAAAAATGGCCTGAAAAGTTAAAAGAAGTGGCAATTACTAAAAAGGAACTTCTAGAAACAAAAGTACAGCACAGGCTGTCTCCAGTGTATCTGTTTTACATCAAGCATTGAGTCTCTCAGGATGCAGAGTCACAAGTGATGGTGTCCATGTACAAGTCCAGCAACATGTTGGACCTGACCTGCAAAGAAACTCTGGGGAGGGAGGGAACTTAACTCTGGAGGGAAAGGTTCTGATTTAGTTTTAAACTGTTTTCAAAAGAAATCAACCATCACCCTATCCCCCCAAGACCCCAAAAATACAGGCAAAAATACCCCCCTTCACTGATTCAAACCCAGCATCTTCATTTCTGTTGCAAATATTTACCTATTACATAGCACCTCTGGGAACCCATCTACTTCTTATGAGCAAAAATGCCTTCACAGTCACAGGCTGACAGAGACAAGCCCTGTCTGTCCTTGAGCACAGGACAGAGTAGCAGCATTGCTCAAACTTTTAAAAGGGTCACCAAAAGAAAGTGGCTGTTCTAGGTTTAATTTTTTTTTTTTTAAACTGACATAAAATTCAGAGCAAGATGGTACCAGATAACCCTGCAGTGTTTTTTCATAGTTTCATAGAACTTATGTGCTATAGAAAGGGGGAAAAAAGAATCACTCACCAGATAATTCCCCCATAAAACAAGGAGAATATGAAATAAAATACAATGGATCCCCAAGTAACAAAATGGTTTATCCATGTCCAGAAGTGAGTTTCTAGTGCCATCTAAAACAGAGATAATGTCAGTGAGCTTCCTTTTTCCACCAACTTCACAGAAAATTACAAATACCAGTCTGAATATACTTACGAACTTCCAGCCCAAACACTAAAAATTGCTGTGACACACAAAAACTAGAGAAACATTTTAACCACCACTGAAACTAAATGTAGAAGTCACTTATCTGGAACCCCCAAGAATCAATTACTTCTGTACAGCTTTTGAATCAATTTAAAATTAGTGCTTTATTACATATTTGCCTATCTTCCCAAACACACAGAGGAGTCAGTGCAGTATCTTACCTTCATCGTGACAGTTATAACCATAACGGTGAAGACCAAAGTACCAAATGTCCAGTTTCCAAACATCTGAGAAAAGGGCAAGGAAAAATCATGGAAGATAAAAAAAAAAATCAATTAAGAGTGTTCACAGTAAGTTAAGATTCTTCTCAAGTCAGCTACACTAAAGAAATTAGTCTGTGGGCATAAGCTGGTGACAAGTAATCATCATGAAAAAGCAAGGAGGATACAACACAAACTACCAGGAAAATAATACAGCTTATGATAAGAGCAAAATTAACAACCCAGAAGTCATCTTTCTTATTGGTTCAAAATAAACCACCACAAAGGCTACATGAAATATGAAAAAAGTCCAGAATAGTAATATGAAATGACAGGAAAATGAAGATATCAATTTGATCAGTTTTGATAATCATCCAATAGAAAGGAAATACTGGGTGGAAGGTATTTTAACTTAAGTGCAAAACACTTTTGAGTTTAAACATTTTCAGATAATTTCCAACATGCAGCATCACCTGAAGGTTCACTTCTTACCCCAAGCACAATTTTACAATTCAAAAATAATGGTGCCATTGCAGTTTACAAAGAAAATTCTAAGGAAAAGACACTTTGTTTCAAGGCTAATAAACCCAAAAAGAAGCTTCCATTCTAAACCCCTGAATCTGTCACTTTTGTATTCTCTTGTGCATGAAAATTAAGCTATCAAAACTCTGAACAAGGTCTACAACAATAAAATCTCAGCTCTGACAACCAAGCAGGGATGCTGAGGTTGTATCTATCTACACACATGCTGCCCACACAGAGCTGCCATTCTACAACAGGTCTGACTGCTCTGCTCCTGGGAGCAGGCTGGCTGCTGAAACAAAAAATGTTGCTATTTTGCAGCTATTTCTGTCACTGACAAACTGAACAATGACCAGATCCTCAACTCTGTATTTACTGGTAGCAGACTAAGCAAGCAAGGAGGAAGGTACCACATGCAGACAGGCAGAGCCATCCTAGAGTTGATGTGTCAGGATGGCACAGAGGCACGGAACTGGGATTCACACAGTTGTAGTTCTTGTTGCAGAGCTCTGACAGAAAAATCCCAACAGCTGATGACAGATCTCACAACTGCTTTTCTAATCTATACACAAGTTACAAAACTGAGGCAGCTATGAGTCTGGATTTACTGATCATTTTAAAGATCTTTGTCACAACACATTTCCTGAAGTATTCAATTTACTTGTCACAACGTGCTTGTTGTTAATTGCTGCAACAGTAGCCTTAAAAGTGAAATTAAACTTCTGCTCCTGAGTGACCTGTGAAAGAAAGTGTCTTTGCTAACACTGCTCTCAATGGTCACAGAGTTAGAACACAAAACACAGAGGGGTTCTTGCCACCATTTTATTTTTGAACACATTTACACTGCGGATGCTGCATCCTTTAATCCTATGAAGTAACAGATACAATATTTTGTATCTCCTCCTCTTCTGAACTCTTACCATTTGCCTGTTAGGTTTCAATATCTGACGACATGCACAGCGTGAAAAAGGGGGGAGAAAAAAGAACTAAAAGATCAAGTAGTTGCACAGTGGGTTGAGGTAAGCCTAACAAACACCAGGATTAACAAAGTATTTACAGTCTCCTCTATTCTGCCGTGCTCCAAGCTGAGAACCTGGAAAAGAAATGTGAGGCCTTGCACTAATGCTACCCTGCATAAAATCTGCACAGGTGACCACTTCTTGAGGACTTCTTACTCCAGCAGTACACTAGGTTATCCCGCCCTTAATTTTGGTTTTTTTAGGCACATGTTTAGTTGGCAAGAAACTTTAAGCACTGAAAATGTTTTACTGCAACACACAGCTCTACCAGTTGCAATAACCATCTCTTAGCAAACACAGAAGGCAGAGGAACAAAAAACTCCACAATCTTAGAATTTATCTGAAGTCGTATCCCCTGAGAAGCCAAAGGGCATCTGTCAATTCCCCAAACTAACCAGCTGTTACTAAATAAAACCGAAGAAGTTTCTTCCTGCCTTGTGGACATTTACTAAGCAGTTCTGAAGTGAGGTGCTTTGACAACTTAAGATGGATGCACCAAAACACACTGATTCATAGTCTAAAATTACCTCATTAGAAGAGTTCTGAAGGACCTTTACCAATTCACAAGAAATTCAAATCACAGAGCTTGTAACAAATGGCAAGAGATGGCACACTCACACCTCAGCTGGAAGAGACATTTTAGTCTAAAGCACAACTATTTTAATGTTCTTATCAAACACCTCACAATGGAAAACCACCCCCCCTCCACTGCTCCTCTCTCTGCAGGGATGCTCAGAACCACCAGCTTTCTGACTTTAGCTCTCAGGACAACTTTGTCTGCTGTCTGCACATCACTGTGTTTTTAACTAAATTTCCTGAGCTCTCTGTCACCAGGTGACCACTGTGAATTCAGCATGAGGCTACTTCTGTACCTTGGGCCATAATCTGCAACTCTGCCAAGCACTACATGAGAATCAGCAAGTGCTCCATGCCAGTATTAAGATTGACATAATGAGAAGCAAATGTATTTTCCCATTCCTACCCATGTTTTACAAGGGAAAAATCAGTATCTAATTGTTCTAAACTGAGGTAAATAACTCAGAAGCAGAGGGAATGAGGAAACAGACTTGTAATGGTTTTATCCAAGCTTTAGAGTTTTTTTCTGAATGGTTCTTCCTGTGAACTTTAAAATAAAGCATCAAATTAGTATTTGATGATTTCATTAACTTAATGTCTTAAAAACATTTATTGAATAAAAAGTATAACTTAAAAGCAGCTTGCACCACTAAATTTTAAAAAAATCTGAGTAATATAATTAAAATAATACATTTTCAGGAGAAGCTTTAAGGCTTCTGTCAGCTTTCAGATTTAAGCCTAGCTTTATAACAGCTACTAAAGAGAAGCCATTTCTTGACGCTGCAATTAAGTCCAACTCAAAATGAGTTTTGAATGAATGGATAAAAATACTCATTTACTGACATGAAATACAACTTTGACAAAAACAGTATACAAAATTAAACAAGGTCTAAGACAACCATGATACATTTATTATCTTGAAAGGTATGTTCTTCAGGGACATACACTTTCTGACAATGTCTTACGATTTTCACACTCAGAAATGTCACTCTTGAGAGCACACACTAATATTGACAAAGAATCTTTGATAATTATGTAGTCCATAAAAATAAATTTTTTCAGACACAAGAGGATTTAAAAAAAAATAAATTAAGAAGCATCACCAAAAACACAGTGGTAGAATAATACTCATGATACTGTACCTGGCCATTTCCCAGCAGAGAAGTGTCTTCTCCCATTAGAAGATACGAGCCATAAAAGAAAACAAATGCATGAAAGAAGCCCAAGACGGTCCAGTAAAGAAATGGTTTAAACCCCAGATGGGCATTTTTACTGATGTCTCTGCAGAAATAAAACAGATTTTGGGATTTCATACTGTCTTTGTATAAACCATGAGTTATTCACATGACATTAGAGCTACTGCTTTGAATAAATGTAACTTTCAACTGCAGCGAGACACATTTAACAAATGCTGACATACGAAAAAAATACATAAATCATGGGCAAAAAAAGAACTCTGAGCTCTCATGATTTGGCTCTGCTTTAAGCAGTGGTCACCAGTGGCAAGGGTCTCTAATGGGTCAAATGCACAATAGCACAAACTAGAATTCTTGTCCCTGGAGGTGGAATTGCAAGAGGAAGAAAAAGTCAGATCTCCTGATACTTACCTCCCGTTCTGCTTAAAAGACCTTTACAACAAGAGAAACATCTGAGAGACATCTCTTTTTTACAAAAATAGATACTTTCTTTTCTCCAAAAAGCAGTATGCAGTGCAACGTGCTACCACTGGGAGGACATCTAATTCTACAGGAAATCACTTCTTTTCCCAGTAGAGGATTTTTCTGTGGTGATTCCCCTGATCAGGTGTCCTAGTTTTTCATTTGCACATCTGAGTCATTTTCACCTCCTACATGTAATGGAGGAGAAGGCTGCCAATCATGTGAGCTGACCAAGCGCTCAGTGCTCTTACATTGTTAACATGACTGACATAAAAAGATCCTTCTCTTAAAATACTCCTGTCAATTAACATTTAGGACAAAAGCTATGTAGCAGCAGCTCTTCCTCATCAAGACAGCCACTAAAAACCCCTGAATCGCAGATAAAAATATTGCACAAATGTCCAACAGCAAGTTCAGAACTCTGCAGATGCCACCACTGCTGTAAATGATGTGCTACTGGGAGAGTTCATGTAAGATGCAGGTACCTGTAGAGCACGGGTTTACTCTGCAATACATGCGGATGCACATGCTGCTCAAACAGACTGTATATGAGGACAGGCAGGGAAGTGAAACAAATATTGTACAAAGTCAGGTATACACTGTCATAGAGCGTCTGGAAAGGAAAACAGAAATGATTTTGAGTCTTTGTGAAGAAAAAAAAAGGTGCTTGTGCACACTAACAGCAGCAACAAATCATCACTTACAGGAATTTACTTGTTAGGGAGAAACTGTACTCTCACAGCCACCTAATAACATGGAGCTACCAAATACAGAAAATCAGCTGGATATTTTTAAAGTGTAAAATCTGTGCTGCCTCTGTGTAGTTATTCACTAATTTAGTTATATATTTATTAGTTATTTAATATTATTGATTATTAATAATAATTATTTAGAATTAATAATTAATATTAGTACAATTACCGAGATGTAAGGCAGTCAATACTTACTTGTTGTGAAAACAAACAGAAGAACTGATATAAAAATTGTGGTGTAATAAAGCACACATTCTGAAATAAAGAAAAGTGAAGGAAATAGTTAAACCTTCGTATATTCCTCACAACTCTTAACAGAAACTGCTAACTCTTACAAGCTGGTAAAAACACACATGAAGACCATAAAGCATTTCAACATTTTACAGGGCCAAGTGAAGCAAGATTCTTTACTTGACAGCACATTTTGTTTATCTGTCCTTTGGGACAATGAACCTGGAAAGTATAAACTTAATTATACCTGTCTGATGAACATTTTTTTAAAAGAGAAGAAATCCATTCATTTTCCCCTCAGTTTCTTTTTAAGAATTTCTTTGCAAAATAGATTCCACATTTCATTCAAGAAAGTTATACCCTGCTCATGTGAGCTTATGGGAGCAGACAAAGCAGAAACCAAAATCCAACAACATGATGTCGCCTTTAAAGGAAAGGGAACAGCTAAAAAGAAAAAAATGACATGTTTCTGTGAACTTCTCTGGCACTCTTGGAAAACTCACCTTATAAAAAAAGTACTGTACAAGGGTTGCTATTCTAATATAGTAAAAGTGCCCATGAACAAAAAGCAACTTGGAGAGGAATTTAAACCGAGCTATTGCATAGTCACTGTTTCTCACAGCTTGCCTTCCTTCCTTGCCCATGATTCCTGTAATGTTTGGGAAACAAAACAGAAAACAGGTTAAGGATTACAAAAATAAAGTTTAAAAACCCCAACAACATACATCTGAAGCTACAGTTTTCCTGCACTTCAACATCATTATAAAGACTTCAGCGACTTTCTGCTGCAACAGAAGGTATTGCTCCTCCCACTTACAACTAAGGGCAACTGCTCGTTTGATGCTGATTCAAATAAAAAAATAGCCTTTATTGTTTCAGACAGAAGAAAGTTACCTATGCCAACATGTGCTTCTTGTATCATGCTCACATCATTAGCACCATCCCCGATTGCTAATGTTATGGGTTTTTCTGGAGACGTTTTTAACAGTCGCACTACCTGGAAAGAAAAAAATCAAAGTTTTAGATTAGACAGTCCACCCACAAACCATGTCACCAATTCCCAAGTATCAAATCAGTTCCCTACCTGTAAATATAATTAATACATTTTATGAGCATTAATGCTTGAGTAAAAAATGTCTTTGGCATATCACAAGCACAAATTCATTCCTTCTTTAGAAAAGTAGCTGGTTTGGAGCATAAAACACTTATCTAAGTATTATGCCTGTCTTGAAATTATTCTCCTGTTCTTATTTCAATATTCTGTTACGTTGCTTAATTTGGTGCTTTATCATATGAAACAGTCATGTAAAAGTTGGAACTGAAAATTTACTTATGGAGTAATACAGCTTTAGTGCCCTTTATTAGACATGCCCAGTCTTCATATCTGTAATTAATGGAACTAATCCAGGTAAAAGAGGAATTTGAAAAAGCAAATGCATCAGCTAAAGATCAATGCACTGTTATTAAACAAAACAGATTCTTTTCAAAGCAACTTCATTATCACCAAGGGGTATTCTCAGTTGGAAAAGACACTGAAGGAGATATGACAGAACAAGGAAAAAATTGTTGACATATAAGGTCATAAAATAATCAGAACAGGAGCAGTGAGACTCAGCTCTTTGCAGGAAGGAACTGGATCTTTAAGTAAGTGCCAACAATATTCTAAATACAGAGGAGTTAGTTAGATGAGGCTTTTGGTTAAGGAGAATTAGTGGTTCATTAACCTCCCAGAGAGCTCTAGCTTAAGGCAGAAGCTTCACTAATTCAGTTGTAAACAGGCTGCAGACATAAAGGTAGCAATGCAGCTCAAGAGGCTTTCCAAAACCAAGAAAATAAACATGTATGAACAAACGTTTTCCCCCTGAAGTTCCAGAAAGCCCAAGGTGGAAATATCAACAGAGCAACATTGGCAGGAGGTAAGGAGACACGAAAACCTGTACTGGAATAATTGAATTGTAGATGGCAGTGGCAGGGCATTGATTCACAGGAGCAGGAACTCACTTCACATGGGGAATGCAGCAGCGACTAAATACAGTCCACAGCTCAGAGAAATCCACCTGACTGTGGGAATGCATTCCCTAATTGCAGGTATTAATATGCAAGCTTAAAGGTTCCCCATTTTTAAGAGGCAATTACTTCAAGTACAGTTAGCATTAGATCCTTGTAAGCAGCCCTAGAGAAGTAACAAAGCTGCAGAGCATCACCCAGATCAGTCCTCCCGGGATCCCAAGGCTGGGGTAATTCAGACAGACAAACATCTATGTGAAAAGGTCAAGACAAATCCCCTGGCAAATTTTAACAGCAGCAATCAGCAGCAGCTCTGAATGACTGACATGATGATGTTCAAAAAGGTTTTCCAGCTATAAAACATGCCAAAATTAGTAGTGAGACTGCCAGCCATCTATTAACAAGCATTAAAGTTAGTAAAAGATGCAGGAAATATTAAGCTTGAGTTCCATCTTAACCTTGGAATAAATCTCTCAAAAAGGATGCCTACAGCAAAAGATCATGTGGAAGGCTAGACTAAACTGCCCTGGACTTCCCTGCTTACCCTTCATCTTGTATGGCATTTGTCTCAGTGATTTATGTACTTCAATGTTGGAAATCAAAAAGTCACTGCCATCAAAATTACACTTTACAGTACTTCATGAGGAAAGAGGAACCAATCTCCATTATCTGCTGGACAGGACAGGAATTATGGAAAGCAGTACAAAGCCTTATAAATCAAGTTAAATACAAAATAAGAACAAGGACAGAACACTGGCAAATACCTGTACCTTAAAGAGAGGGGATGGCAAAGATTTCAGCTAAAAGAATGGACAGAAGTGGACAAATCAAACAAATTGTTTTACTCAGAGTAGTTACAATTTCCTTTTACTATTTTATTGTAACTAATACTGTACCAGGTGAAGAGTTCTATACTGAAGGGATTCTAAAGACTGCATTAGAACTCTGATTAATTGTTGGAAGCAGCAGGAGTGACCTCAAAATAGGTGCCATAGTAAAACAGCCTGCACTCTTTTGCCCATCTAGTACCTCACACAAGGGTTTCCTAGCGCTTTAAGGTGAAAAGATGTCTTTTCCCAGAGAGAGAAAATTTCAAAAGGAAAGAAGAAATATTCCAGTCCTTCAGAGCTTAGCTTTCCAGATTGAAAAAAAAAAATAAATCACAAAACCTGAATTTTAATTCCATCCACCTTATATTTGAGTAAAATTAAGTACATGTGAGGGAAAAATGGTCTTAGAAGAGCATGAAGGAAAAACGTCCCCTGGAGACTAGGCCTCTGCTTCTCCTCCCTTTTACTTCATCCTCAAACTTGGGTATATTTTTTTTTAATACTTAGAGAAGCACACTTCTTCCTTACAGGTCCATGAACTTTCCATTTGGCTTTTCTGGTTTGGAGAAGTGATGCAGCAGGCAAGGCAAGAGCATACAGGTGGTCAGGACAGCTGCTGCCTTACATAGCACTCAAGAGGCAGATTAAAGATGAGCCTTTTGCTTGCATGGTGGCAGGATTTTGACTTTGCCACGCACTTGCAAATTTTCAAACACACCTGTAAGAAACTTCTGAGCAAACTACTCCATATCAACTGAATTTAAGAAGGATTCAGAAGTCAGGCAAACAAACAAAGCAGTTTCATGCCTCCTCAAAGCATGATAAAAGTATTTTAAAGGAAATCCTGATTACATTTACACTTACCTTTGCTTTCTGAAGGGGTGCCATGCGACAGCACAACACTGCAGAACAGTTTTTGCAAACTTCCATGAACAGTTTCTCATGTTCCCTGAGTGCAAGAGAGAGGCTGGTCCCATCCACAACCAGTCCATGCTGGATAACATGGTCTTCCTTTATTCTATTCAGGGATAAAAATATTAACTTTGTATCGGTGTCACAGAAAAATTTCAATTTGCTATAAACTGTGCTGTTGGCCAGACAGTAAACAAAGAAGTTAATCTGTCAGACAGACTTCTTCTTCTAGTCCTGTTATTACTAATTTTTCTAAAAAGGCAACTTAATTTGTTTGGCACATTCATAACAGAGATTGTCGTAAAATTTGAAAATGAAAGAAAACCAAGCTGAGACCATCACTGAGACAGCGACATCTCAGGTGTTTTACCTCTTGGCAAGCTGCCTCAGTTGTTCTGCACAGGTACTGTCTGACTTGTGCTGCACCAGCTCAAGGATGTTCATGGTTCTGTGGAAGTGTCCACAGGACAAGCTGACACTCACAGCTGTCTCGTGCTTGTCCCCAGTGAGCACCCACACTTTGATACCAGCCAACCTGAGGGCCTCTATAGTTTCTTGGACTTTCTCCTGCAGTCTGGAAACAAGGAAAATCTTAAGTAACCAATAAAACACTTTACCAAGAAACAGCTCACTCTGTAACTCCATGTTACCACTGTAACCCCACTGCCAGGACAAGTTAAGACTGCATTTCCAATGTCACATCTAGGGTCAGAGAATCACAGCCTGGCAGATGATACTCTGTTACCAGCAATAAAACAAAGGCCTTGATGAAACAAAAACTGAACTCAATCCTGCTAAGGGATCAAAACTTTTTCATAAGCATACCCTGATTTAAATTATTTACTGCAACTATTCCATTTCACAATACAGGAAATCTCTCCTGATGAAACACAGCTGTGCATCATTGTTATTAAGCCAAAATCAACTGGTACAACTTGTGTTTTGAATGCTCAATCCAAAGAGTGGCAAACATACTAAACAAGAATAGCACAAAACTTTTGATGATAGTGGGGGAGTTTTTCACATATCCTATTTCAGAAATAAATCCTAACTTATTGGGATTGAGTGTAGTTAGCAGTAACTCCATTGCATACTTGTCTTCTACTCCTGTAGCCCCAAGTAATTCCAGATCCCTTTCTATGAAGTTGAACACATCTGCTAATCTTTCTTCCCGTTGCTGTAAGGCAGTCCTGGCCTCATGAAGGCGTTTGCCAATTTCTTGATACTCCTCAGGTGTGAATCTTCTGTAGGCTACGCACAAAGTTCTTAGTCCTTTCTGTGAGAAAATAAAAGACCACATTCAGAGTAGACAAGATTCTGATCTAACGAGAAGGTGTCACCTGTAATTTGTTCACTTCAAGCCACAGAATTTATTCCAGGTGAATTTTCTTCTGATCAGCTGGGCGAGCACATGCACTTACCAAAGCAAATTCATCCACATGTATCCTTGTTTTGTCTATTTCTCCACTCTTACTACGAGGAAGAATGGAAGATTCTGCTCCTTTTGTGAATAAAAGCTTTTCCCCTACGAAGTAAAACAGAATAGAAATTAAGAATAATGCCATTTAAGGAGTTCTCAACTGTAGCTTTTGCATTTTCTGATGACCTACCTGAGGGACTCTCTACAATGACACTCATTCGTCTGCGATTTGGATCAAACTCCAACACGTGAAGCAACTTGTACCTGTATTTTGTGTTGTAATAAAAGAGGGAAGGGCAAGAAAACATTTTAAGAAATAATTTTCCAAAGACAATTACTTATAAATAGACTCTTACACCACAGACCTTTCCTCAAAGTGTCATTTTTATACAGAAACTCTAAAAGCAATGCTACCACTGATGACCAATCACTGCCATTATTCACTGGGCAACTCATTGCTTTTCATCACTTTCTTCCATTTTGTAAGAATAAAAGGCTCTTCTACCAATAGGAATAGTCTCCTGAATACTAACTTGGTACCTGGAGATTACAAACAGTTCCTATTTCTTTATCCTTCTGTCATTATTTCAAGTGTAACTTTGAAAACTACATTTTGTTTCTAACATTTGTAAACAATCTACACTGTTAAAAAACAGTGTGTGTGCCCTGATAACTGGACTAGTTTTTTATGTTACCACTAGTTCAGAAAATTAATTTCAGACATTGAACTTTAAAGTATTGCCAACTGACACAGATAAAATGGGTAAAAGGAGTTATGAGATACTGCAGATATACAGTTATCAATAATATTTCTACTCATTTTGTGAAAGTTTGAAATACATAATTAGATTATGCACAGATGAGAGTGATTCTGGAAACTTCTAGAGCTGAAAGCAGAAACTCTAGGACTTGAATATGCAGTTCAGTTTTCCAGCTCTACTACAGTCTCAACCTTTGAGGAATGGGAGAAGATACAAACTGTTACAACACACACCTACACAGAGTAACTCACAAAATTCTTGCATCTCAGCTACAATTGGTAAGGAATAAGATGCAAACTGTCTTGAAGACATCAAGGGAAAAGCATTAAATAGAGCACGCTGTGGAAAGGCAAGGTTTGCTTATGAACAGAGAGGACTGAGAAGAGAACTTTACATTAATCAACACTACTGTTCTGTCCTTCAAAATAAACAAGGAATAAAAATGAATACCTCTCTGGTTTTCCAAGGCTTTTTACTTCCATAGTATCTCCACTAATTCCAGTAAATACTACTCCAACCCTAAAAGGAAAAGAAAACACACATTTAATTTTCACTTTAGACAAAATGCCTATTGATGCAGGAAGGGGAAGGTGGCAGGGAAAAAAAAGAGACATTCTTATACTCCGTTACTCTTCTCTACTTCTAGAGAACATTAAGAATGCCCACTTTCTGCAGTATTTATACAATTCCAGGACACCTGGAGTTTTGTGTATTTTATATGTCCATGTTTTCCCAGGAAGCTGTCAGGGCCAGGCCCTGGGCTTTACAAACATCCTGAGCAATCTTTACAGCAGCTTTCAGCATGGACTGCCTGCCCTGGGAAGCAATTTCTGTGTTAGGCACTTCTGGCAGCCCAGCTCACCGGCTTGCAGCTTCAACCAAAGCTTTCTCATCTGGGGAAGAGGCATAATACTCCAACGGGGATGTTATTCCGTTGGCATGCCAGGGACCATCAGCACCATCTGTCTGATCTGCATTGATCTGCACTGTATGGCAGAGACAAACTGCCTTCAAGAACAGTTCCTCCTCTTTCACCTGTAAGAAACAAAAATCTTGGTTTGTAACATTTAGGTATCAACCCAGTTCTGAATGCTCTCAAAAAAAATGTTTTTACTTGAAAATCTGCCAAGTATTTCACGTTAAATAATCTCGTCTCAACATGTTTAATAAATATTATTTGTTCAGCAACACTTACTATCTTCAAACTATTCAGAAATTCTGATTTATGTTGGGTTTTTTTCATGCTAACCGTGCAAGAATATTTCTCTGAAATACAAAACACTTTCTATCTAAGATGACTAATGGTGGGAAAAGCAAAGTGTCTTACCAAACCATGTCTATTTCCATCTGGAGAATCTTCAGAAAATCCCTCTGGAGTTAGTTTACCATTGACCTCTTGGTACTTTATCCCATTAATGGAGCACTCCCGAAACTGCATCTCATTTTCAGTTAATGTACCAGTTTTGTCTGTAAACACATACTCTACCTTTTGTAAAAGAAAACAAAAAATACCAGACTTGGAATTGCATATACTTGTTAAAAGAAAAAAATAAAAAAATCTCAATTCACGCTTTCTACTACACCTGTTGTTTTGATTATGTAAGATTTTAGTTTTTGCCATCACATCTCTGTACCTTATTTTAAAATTAATCAAAGCATAACCAATAAGAACCCTGCAGTAAGGAATTTTAATATTAAAAACTAAGTAGAAAATAGGTTTAAAAAAAAAAAAAAAGAAACAATGCATTTTTTACTCTACCTGTCCCAATTCCTCATTGAGGTCTGAAGTATTTACTTGTGCTCTCTGGTTTGTTTCTTCGTGATAGAGGTCAAGATCCCAGCCAATAAAAAAAGATCCAAGAAATTTCTGCATCTCGACAGTCACATAGAGTGAAATAGGTATAATAAAATTGTAAAGTACCAGAAAGGCAAGAAAATCCGAAATAAATCTCAGGATCTACAAGGGAAAAAGGAAAAAACCGTGAAGATTACAACAGTCATCAGGTGAAATGTGGTGACTCAATTGTGTTTCAATATGCATGAAAAATGACAAATTGAAAGAACCAGAGAAGACCAAGTCCCACATCCACATGAGAGAGACAACACACCCAGTGACATCGCAGGCATTCCCAGGTTGCCCCAGTAACACGCCTTCAGACTGATGCAAAAAGTCTGCCTTAAGCAATGACTGGATGTTTGAATTCTCAAGTTCATTAATCTCTGCCTATCTTACTGAATCTGTCAGGAGGGCTGCCAGTTAATGTGAACTGTCACGGTGATTCTATTTTCAAAGAGGGTCTGAAAAAAGCAACGTGCCCCCCATTCCAAACAGCATGACTCATTTAGGCTTATCTAAGGAACCATAAATTGTGAAGGCAAACAACTGATATTCCCTGCTGTCAGAGGAATCTGCAAGGACTCTGTGTTGTTTTAGGACAGCAGAGTGACAAGAGGGCTGCTGTCTGCTGGCATTCCCCAGTGATCAAGACTCATGACAAGGGACCATGTGGACTTCCATGGCAAAGACCCCGTTTATGCCTCTTCAAATCACTGTGTTCAACACTTACAACTGAGGCAAACACCCACATAACAGGACAGAAACTTTTTATTAGGTATGAAAATTTTAACAAACTCTGAAAGGCAACACTACAGCCTCTCTGAAGTTTGTTTTTCATTTGGACAAGAAACTCAGTATCTGAACTGTACTTTGAGAAGACTCTTACCAATCCTTGAATATTGAGCAAGGGAGATCAGAGATGAGAAAAAAACAGGCCATCTCATTCAAATCTACCAGATATTGGTGTAGAAGAACATTTTAAATAAAGGGAAAATAAAAATAGTGAACAGTTTGCAAAGCTAAATAATGTTTGTTCTTCCCAATTAGGGAGTGCTGCTATAATTACTTAATAAAAGTCAGTAATTAAAGTGTCTGATAAAAACTCATCAAGTTCTGTGCCTAAAGAGATTTTCCGAAGTAAACCAGAAAATATAGACAGAAACCAAGAGCATAATTCATGTGAGAGAATATACACAGAGAAGAAGTGACAATTAATGAGGTTAGAGAGTTTCTTAAAGCGCTATCTGTGAAACAACAAACTGCACACACAGGACAGATGGACAGAGAAGCGCTCCAAGTAAGGAGATCAGCATGTCGAGAAATGCAAAGCAGATTGTGGAAGTAAACACGTGAGAGAGAAAAACAAAGACACCACAGAAGGAGAGTGACACTGCAGAAACACGTGGCTCTCTGTGTTCCTGATGGGAAAGGTTGAGGAAATACTTCTCCCTGTTCCCTTCAGAACTGAAAGGGCTCCACAGGCTAGTCCACCTTGCATAGCCAAAACTTCAAATTAAGCTCCTGAACGGCTCTGGACAAAGGTACACTCACACAGAAATCAAAAATTATGCAGAAAGCAGAAAAATACAGAGTGCTTAGAAAAAGAGAAACTTCTCAGAACTGCAGGTTTCAGGAACACTCCGAAGCATCCCTCCAATCTCTACAGAAAAGTGAGAAGGCAGGCAGGAGCTTGAGCAAAATTACAGCCTGGCAAAATTGTCTGAACCATCTCAACATCACAGAACACATAAAATTCCTGAACTGTGAGATCACTGTAATAGGACACACCAGAACAGCCATCCTCCTCCTCTTTTCATTTATGGAATGACAAAAGACACCCCAAAGAACAGTAACAAGAGCACAGAGTATTAGAAATACGTTCTAACAAAGCCCAAAATTTTCAAAAAGCTTGGTCTTTTCATAAAGGAAAAAAAAGTCCAACCAGTAACAGAGGTAGATATTCCTACACCATAGTGAGGCTACATAGGACTAACACTCTCAAAACCACTGAGGCTTGGATCATGGGATACTTACACCTACATCCAAGAGCAGAGACATAATAAATAAGACATTCAGTATCTTGGCTGAATGTTCCCCAGATGTGCAACTGGGTGAACTACATTACCTTACTGCTGTTTCTTTCATGCTCTGTTTTCTCATTGTACCAGGGCTCATCCCATTTCTCTTCAGCCTGCCATGCATACTTTAAAATAGTGCTCAGAATGGCTTCAAAGAGGAGGATTATTAGATAAATAATCAAGAAGGAATTCATGGACCTATAAAGAAGCAAAAAAAGAAAAGCAACTTCAGCTTGTTTCACTCAATCTGTTGACACACTGTGGTTACGTGAATGAACTTACTGGACAGCATTTTAAAAAACATATCCTGTGCTTAAAGGACATAAATTTTCTATGTGACAAGCAAGCAACAGAATGGAAAAGAAATCCTACATCTTACTAAGATAAAATCTCCATATAGCAGTATGAGGACTAGACTAAGGTGCAAGAACATCCCAACAGCCAACCTGTGTCACACCTGCTGTCTAAGATTTTGGGGGCTGACTTATCATTCTCTTCTTCCTCGAGTTTCTAGCAAGGCTGTGAAGGCAGTACAACCAACCACACTGGAAACCCAGGGCTGCACCTTTTCTTTCAGTCAGGAGAGCACTGCCACGTGCACCTGACTATTTAACCCAGGCCATGCTGCACCAGGATCAGTCACACCTGTCTCTATATTCTGTCACATCTTTCCACCCCTTGCTTTGATGACTGAGGGTTTCTTGTGCACACTACAGTTCTGTTTTTATGTAGCTACAGAAGAACAATCAATCCCACGCTTGCCTAGGAATTCCAGGAGGCTCTCTCAAGAGTTTTAGTAACTGGAATAAAGGCAACATATATCAGGACTTTTCCCTTTAAAGGAAATCATGAAATTCAACACATAAATCTCTACTATAGTAACACCTATCCTGTAACCTTGAGTAAGCCTGGGTATTTCCACTTCACACACAGCTAAAGAATCAATATTAAAAAATTAATTTTATCTTTACAGCTTCCTACCAAAGGCAAGGCAATCAACATTGTCTTCCCTTGCCTAAAACCCAGCAAACCCATCAGGATTTTAAAGTTACAGAGGAAAAACTAAGTTAAAGCTCTATGAATAAGAGAGGTATTAGAAAATAAACATACTTTTCTACTGCTGACCGTTTCTGAGATTTACTCTTGTAATTTAATGCCATCTTTGTCTCCATACCTGTATACACTGCAACACCTGGGAAGGAAGGGGGGGAAAGAGTTATACTTTACTTTCTGCATCTACATGTTGCACAACTTTTCATTTTGACAGACGTAGGATAAAAGCAAAAGATGGTATTACTTTTGTGTTTACTTCAGCACAGTGGTGAGAGTATTTTGTAGGTATTTGCAGTATTCTACTATAGTAAAACTACTACTGAAGTAATTTTAACACCTACTTTAACACTGATCATTATTATGACTGTACTGCTCAATATGTATTTTATGGAAATCAGAACGGTAAATCTCAGGAGAAAGTCTTGAACAATGGGTAGCAGTAAGAACAGTCATTTATCCACTGAAGTTAAGTTATTCCTTTATCAAACCACTTCAAATATTTTCACAGAGCAGAGCTGGAACTTTATATCCTTAGAGAGTCTTCAGCACAATACCATTACTTTCATCTATAATCATATCCCCTCAGGTAACAGTCAGCAAGATTATTACAATTTCTTCAGTGCAAGTAGAATTAAAGCACAGTTCATCAACATGCTTTAAGAAGAGAATACTCTTTAAATATTTAGATGTCTACAAACCAAATATTTCTTTAGTGTTTTTTAATCTTGCTCCACGAAGTAAGAGACTTTCAGGCCCAAGAGGTCTAAAAAGAAATAGAAATACCAGCATTTAAAAATCAGTCGTTCTGTATTCTGTAAAACTAATGAAATCCAGTCTCCTATGCAAAGCTGTCCTATATTCCCTATGAATTCCCAATGCAGCAACTTCAACCCCATCCTCATTTAGGTCCATCTTCAATCATCTCACACGCCACACCCACTCATCTCCACAGAGCTCTCTGTTTCATTTCAGGTCTCCTTTGGACACTGCCATCCTCTCCCACCACTGTTACACATCCCATAATTACTGATTGAGCTACAGATTCCAAATGGCTGGTTCAGAGAGACCTGCAAGTTACTCAGGAAGTAAGTAGGCAAAAAGCCAGGTGAGCTCACAGTGCACCAGGAATGCTATTTTAGGTTTGGCTAACAACCCATCTTACTTCTACCCCTCTGACAAACTGAAATGATCTAAAAAGTTCAAAATTTTTCATACCAAACAGAGACAAATAATTAAATGGTCACACCACCACACCACAGCAGTGCAAATTTTACTTCCTAACACAATAGTAAAAATTTCATAAATGTTTTTCTGCAACACAATAATACATTCATTTCATTAGCTAAGTTAACTCCAAGTTAATTCCCAAGTGCTGGGACAATAAAGGTCTAATTAGAAACAAGGTTAATTTAAGGTTAGAGCCATATGTTCCACTAAACAAAACTTGAAGTTCCTTTGAAAGCATAACCTGGAGTTACTCAAAAAAAACCCCAAAAGCCAAACCCACAATCCACTTCCTACAGTTAAACATTTAACTTAATTAATTTAACTTAAATGTTACTGCAAATGTGACAGTTACCATCACAAATACCATGTGCACCAATTATACACACAGATTACGGTGGGTTCTTTAAATTACACACACATATGTTAATGTTTTAGGCTAGACTCAAACTTCAGCTGAAAAACTGAACTAAAGGGGACTAAATGCTCGAGCATTTAAACTTTTCATATGAGAAACATAATTTTTATTTCTGGATCCAAGTTTATAAAACCAGTCTGACAAACCCAAAATACAAAACCTGAATCATTGCAACACAGTCTAGACAAGTTTATCTTTGAGAGACAGAAGATAAGCTTCGCTAGAAGTCAGAACTTGCAATTTTTTTTTCCACACTCCCTTTAAACTGTCTCTGTTTTATGTTACCAATTAAATTATTTTGATAGATTATCCCAAAGCTGAACCTCTCAGTCTTGAGAGTAATGGATCCTGAAGAGTTCAAAGTGAAGTAGGACATGAAGCAACCTTAGAAAACAGCTGAGCGGGGTTTTGGAGATGGTATGAGTGAGGTTTTTTGTGGGAGTGGCCAAGGCAGTGCACTTGGGGCCAAGTGACCTTCTTTCTACATCCCCATATTTCTTGCAAAAAACACTGACAAATCCTTGATTCACTCTGAACTCCAGGTCACTCCTATCTAAAATTGACAAACGTTTGCAAGCCTCAAAGGAGTCTCTCAGACTGAGACTTCCAGTTTTTCAGACTGAAGCACACATTAGATGGAAAATAGCTCAAGTAGAAATTTCACAAAAAAAATAAAAAAGGTGTAGTAGGTAATATTTTGGACTTTGGAAGAGTGAAAGAACCATAACGAATTTACCTGTTTCTATGACAAATTTATACATCACAACACAGCACTTCACCTTTTCAGAAGAGGTGACAAGGGTTTTTGGAAGCGTGACTATCCACAACCCTCACCATAAAATAATTAAATAACTTAAATGCTATCTATTCCTGAAAATGTGGCCATTTCCTGTGAGTGAGTTCCATGTCTTTATTTCAAACCACAACCTTTCTCACTCCTCTTCTTCCTATTTTCCCTCCTGCCCTGTTGGGGTGGGGGGGATCGAATGAGCAGCTGTGAGGATGCTGGTGGCTGGGGCCAGCAATCAGCAACCCCCAGCAATTAGTAGCCTTTTCAGGAAGTCCACATGTAGATCTGTAAGTGGCTTCACATCTTTATTCTTTTATTTTCACATGTTTAGGCGTATGCTGCTTGCTGTGACTGCACAAGGAAAGGTGGTGAGCACACCATTATGTGCACACAATTACGTGTTGACTATTACAGATGTAAGCACTTATCTGTACAGTCCAGTTAGTGCAGCAGCTCAAAATACATACTGAAAGCTACAAATCTGTAGCAGAGGCTTTGTTCAAACAGACCTGTAATTTCTAGGAATTTCAACTGCAAAAACACCTCCTCAGTCCCTCTGATAAACAAAGGATGGTATCTGCTGAAGTTTACGTAATACACCACTGGAAATTGTTTCAGATCAATAAATGCTTTAATTAACAACTAGCAACAAAGTGTACCAGCTGATTACCAGAGCCTAAAAATGACCCGCTTCAGAGCGGCCAAGCCTTCCAGAAGGTGAAGTATTCAGCTACAACTGACAACTTTCAGTAAAAATACTGCTCCCTTTTACATATTCAACAGTAACTCTTATTTGTGATGGTCGTGATTTTAACCACCTTCATGCATTCGAAATAACCATCTTAGAAAATGTGACTCACCGGACTATTTCTTCAGCTTGTTGACTTACAGTTATTCTTCCAACAAATCTAAGAAAGATGGGAACGTCTTAGAACTATCTACATAAAGACTCAAAAATGTAAGAAGTCTGTATTTACAAAGAAGTCTTTAACGGTTCACAAGTACAAAATAAAACAATATGGCAACACTGGCACTAATTTTACAAGAGACATTTAACAACAGAAACATTTATCCTTCAAAAGAACAGTCATCTGAGAAAGCCTATTAGGTTTCATTAATAACCACCAAAGATTATATTTCTACTCAATTAAAACAGATTGTGACTTTCTGATGATTCAGTAAGAAATAATTCCTCAACAAATGTAAGCTAGCATATTACCAACAAGAAATAGTAATTTTTCTTTCACTAAAGCAAATCTACTCTGCATTTAAAATCTGACATTTGCATATTTAGCATGACCCCAGCTACAAACAGGGACATAACTTCCATAGCAACTGTACCTTAATTTGCTAAATATCAAATATCTGAACTGCTGCTCAAACTTAGTATCTTAGTTTTAATTAATTTTTTCCAAAGACCCCAAAGTTTACTGAAGAATAGCTGTGATACTTGGATTTTTAAAACTATTATTTAGTAGCTGTCATTTTCCACTACACAATTCAAAAGAAACTTGGATTGGAATATCACTTTTGCTCCCCACGATGTCTAGCACATTGCTTGCTGATGTTAAAGCACACTCAGACATCTCTGTTTTTAATCTATGGTTTTGCTGCTGAAGAATGGACTTCAAATCTTAAGCACGTGCAAAATAAATGTGGTCAGCACATATCTTTGGAATTAACATAAGCTTACAACAATTTGCTACAATTTGAGTTAATTTCACCTTAAAATATCCTATACGGTACTGAAATCTCCTGGCAGAACCCTATACAACTAATTCTCCAAGCTGATCAAATTCATAGGTCATTTAATTTTTTTAAATCAGGAAACAAGTTTACTGGTTAGAACAGAAATGAACATAATTAAAATACAAAAGATAAATATTTATTTATTTATTTTATTATTTATTTAATATTGAAATACTAAAACTTGCCACTTGCAGCTTTCAGTAAGTGCATATGTATAAACACAAGCTAATTATTAAAACCTAAAATTCAAGCAGATGTCTGAAGCTATTTTAATCACAGCAAGACCGATAACATTCATAACATTAAACACCTCATTTTGATTTAATTTCAAAATATTTACTACTAAAGTGATACCTGTACAGATCTGCTTCTGGCTGCTGACATTCTATAACAGCTACCAGTTTGTCCAGGTTGGCAACAGACTGCAACACTGCTGTTTCTGGGACTGCAATGTGTGTCTGTAAAACAGTGCCCCTTAAGTTAACACCAGGCAGCAGGAGGGGGTATTTCAACAGGCTGGACTAAAAATGGCATCCTAAATTAACTGTATCACAAGAGTAACCCAGACCTTAAGGTTGGTCTCTCCATCCAAACTCGCAGTGGTGACATGGCATGACCCGTCCACTCGGTCAGACGACAGAAGCACCAGGTCAACAGGAAAAGTCTCATCTTTGGCTACTCTGACGATGTCCCCCACCTAATGAAGTGAACATAAAGGGAGTTTTAAAAGAGCAGAACTCATTTCAGCATTGTTACCTAACGACGATCAAACAGGCCACAGTGATCAGCAAAGAAACAAGAGCTGTATCTGTGGGACAGAAACACAATTTTCAGTTTGTCCTTTGCCACATACCCGAATGTTTTTAGATCTGGTTTTCACAAGGCCACCACTTCGAACAACATAAACTGGAGCACCGTTGACTTCATTGTCTGCTTTATGTCGTAGCCAATCTTCATAACCCTGTGGAAAACACACAGAAGTTCACTTCTTAAGTCAGTGAGCTAAAAAGCTCACTAACCATCTCCTAAGCAAAGGTGCTTCAAATTACTTCCTGCATAGTCTGAATATAGTCACTAACTTCTCTTGAGTGTCTACTAGAGCTGTTACTCAATAACCTGGGAAACCTCTTGATTTTCACTCACAGGAACAAGTAAATGCACATAAAGCAGCAAAAGTGGAAACGAATCTTAACAGTTCCATATTCTTAGAAAACAAACAGGCAGTGACATTTTCTGCAGATCAGATGACTGAGCAATCATTAAACCGTTGATCTGTATGGATTATTATACCACAAATTTGGGAAGAGTCAGTCCCCAGGCTCCTTTATGGATTCCTTTTTTTAAAAAAAGGAACAGACTGAAATTACTTCCTCAAGTCATACCAGACAGCACTTCTTATAGTTACTGCCATAGCCTATGCATGAAATCTTAATATTTCTTAATTTTGTGTGACATGCTGTTGACAGATGAGCTCTGTGTAGCAACAGAAGATGACTGAGAAGGTTTTAGTTCTTTGTGAGTCCTAATGGAACAGTTTGCAGCAACTGAGCTTTTAACTAATAAATTAAGCAGTTTTTCTTTAATTGATATTCTGCACCTCTTTAAGCCTTCTTTATCCCATGCACACAAATGTGCAAACATTCCTGATCGTGAATCCAGGTATATTATCCCCATCCTATTTTCCTAAAGTATTTATACATTGTTTATTTAATCTAATAGCATTAGATCATAATAGCATAATAACCTCTAATCCCAAGTCTAGGTACTGTTTAAAAAGCCCCACAAGCAAACGCAAGAAATGGATCAATCTGTGGATCAACTGCCTCTTACATCCTGGCAAAACTCCTGCAACTCATTTGCAATAACAGAGAGATTTCCTAAAATGCTTTTCTGTAGGTATAAAACCTGTGAAAGAGTTAAAAACATTTCCTTTAAGTCTGCAGACAGAAGGAAGGAGCCGTGTGAAACAGCAGGCATAACCTCAACTCATCCTACAAACATTACATGAGTGTAACAATACAAAGAGTACTAATGCAGATGCAGTTTGGAGAGTTCTGCAGTTGACTGGAGTCTGCAGGGAAGTTATATGATGAATTTTGTACGTTAAAAGTACAGTTTTGCAGCTCTACCTTCATGTACCTCCACTGTTACTGGCACAAATAAATAAAGACAGGACAACTGCACTACCTGGCTTTGAAAAGAAAGGGGAGAGGGAATGGGGAAAAGAAAAGCAGCTTTATATGCCAAATGCTTAAAAATAAAAAGTATGCAGTAATAGCAGCCACACACACAGATTCTGGAAAATCAGAATCCTAAAGCTCCTAAGACTCTTTTAAGAATCCTTCCTAATCAGTACGAAAAAGCAGGAGTCAGTACCTACAGCTCCTTGTTAAAGGTGACTGACAGAAGAAAACAAGGGTTTAACTAACATCCAGTAACCTTGGGGCATTTGTCTCATGGACCTGAACAGCTGAGCAACGTGGGCATTTGGCAAAGAACTGAAATTTACCGTCTTTAGAAAGTACAGATTTCAGCGCTTTCCCCATCTGACATCCACTGCCTCCAACCCAAGGGTGACACCTCACACCAGGGAATTCTTAAGAGCCAACTTAATGTGGTCAGTTCAAATTCCCCCCAAATTTACCTACTGTGGCATTTTTGAGAGTTCCTTACCCTCACTTGCAACTACTGGAAAAATACTGTGACAAAGAGAGATGCAATAGGGATACAAGGAATGTTGCTTGAAAACTGTGTGAAGAGAAACTAAGATTAAAATCCCTCAATTAAATTATATTCCTAAGTCCTGTTTAAATAACTGCATCAATGTAATTGAGAAACAGCCTGCATTTTATATGACCAGGTTTTTCATTCTCAGTTTAGGTCTATAATTAATCAAAACCTTCAAAGTAGTTGTTTATAATTTACCTGACAGTCAAGTAAACATCTCTGTTCAATCAGCTAAATACCTATAACTTATTGGACTGAGTTTCCTAAAGTTCCTTGGGAAATACCTTTTTTTAAATTTTTTTTTTTTTTAAATTTTTTAAAACTTTTTATTTTTATTTGTTTGCGAATTTTGGACTCCTCTGAGGATTGTGTATAGACCTTCACAGGCACAAGGAGGAAAGTGCTCTGGCTAACAGGACAGATAAAATGACACAGCATGAGTTGCACCACTTTGCAGTCTAGTATGTCCTTCTTCTGACCTAGGTGCAATTACACTTCTAAGAAAAAGTTCTGCCTCCTTGGCTGAGTTTAAAATAAGGCTGAGTTCTGAAGTTTGCTAGAGGTGCCACATTAACTGGTCTTCTGGAAGCAGGGGAGAGTTCTTCCACCCACTGCTAAGCTTCTCAAACCTGCATATGATTAATGCTTCTATTTTTCACCTTCATCTTTTGAGAGAATATTAAATTATAGTTTAACATTTATCCTGATATAACTTTGTACAGAACTGGTGCCCCACAGCTTTCAAAAAGGCATTTCTTTCCTTAAAATCTGCTTCCTACGACAGAAAATGGGAGCTGATTCTGAGGCAGTACTGGGCATTTTCCCCTCTGCATTCCAGCAGAAGGTTTATCTTTCTTCCCTGTCTGAAGGCAGCCTGTTGGAAATAGCACACTTAATTGTCCTTCCAAGGTAACAGCTTGTGAGTATTTTCTGCCTTCTTTGCAGCACGTAGGATAAACATGAGAGTCCATTAGATCAGTTTAGGTGGCTCCAATAGTCCTTGCAGAGATATTGAGACAGCCAGGAAACTTCCTGATGCTTTGCAAGTCATGAATGATCTGAAGTTTCTCCAGAAAGGAATGACAGAATCTCTATTCTTTGCAATTGATGATAAGATACTTAAATTTCCCAATATAAAACTGGACATCTGGAAACAAGGTGGTGTTAGATTATTTTGGCCTATTTTAGACTTACACAAGTCCAACTTCTTTCTGGAAAAAAAGTGATCTAATATTTATAACTCTGTTTCATAATCTCTTTTAGTTCACACAGCTTTAAGGAATATTATCCATTGCCTACTTATGATTCTAGCTCTTGAACATGTGATGTTTTTTTTGGGGGGGTGATGGTAAAAACAGGATTAGGGCACTCTACATACACAAACTGCACAGCAACAAGACTAAATATTAGTCCAGATACCACTCCAGCATTAAGAACCCCTCTGCCCCATTCTACCCTGTTGAAAGCTAGAACTATTTTTACTTTTGCCCTATTTCTGGGTGCCTTTGGGTGTTACTGGCACAGAAGGCAAATTGAAATTCCAGCTGTAGCTCTGTAACAGTCTCCTGCTTATTTTTCCGTTGCTAGACTGCATCTCTTCCCCAGACAGCACTGTCAAACCCTTTGAAGGGGATAGTTCCTGAAAATAACCTCCCTGCAGAAGAGATTATAATTTCTATCCACATCACCTCTTTATTTATGAGCTTGTTTCTTTCTCCTCTTGCTTTAAGGGTTTAAAGACATAAGATTTTTTTTTCTTTCTTTTTCTTTTATTTCTACATTCTCATTCCAGGGGCTCTAGGCCTCAATATGGTGCTCGAACGAGATTTCTGGTAAACTCGGAAGATTTTTCTTATTTCAGGTGCCATAAAGCACTCCAAAATGTTTTATGCAACCGAAGAAGAAGCAAAGAAAACCAGAAGCTTTCTAAACTGGAGCTTTTACCTGGTACAGCATTCCATTTCATACATACTTCACACCATGGAACACACTCCTTGGGGCCAAACTTGCCTTTCAACTACTGACAAACACGGACTGCCCCACTGCTCCATCTACCCAAGCTCCTTTCTCAGTGTGTGATGTGGGAGGATTGGTTTTGATATGCAGTGAGGTGTGCCAAAGGAATAAGTGAGGAGCTTTCAGAAAAGGTCTTATAACAAGTGACATGTAATGTTTAGACAAAAATGCTGCCTGACATCATTCACTGTCCATTTGAGGGTACTGCAGTGAGTCACTGAGCGCTCGACAACTAACCAAATGCTGAAGAGCTCAAGCATCTAACAAGAAACATTAAATACAAAATCCTTTCTAAAAATTACACTCTTTTATGTATTTTTAGCATCTGAGCATTTTCTTGGTCAGACTCTGTTAAGCAACTTCACCTTCAAAAGGCTTCGTGCCACAAGACTTTTCCCCTTTACCTGTTTTATGGCTGTCACAGTTATGACAAAGAATAATGGCAATCCACTGGTAATAGGACTGGTAGGGGTATCTATCATGAGCTAAAAGAGAAGAAAATATGAAAGTTACCTCAAATTTTATTTTTACAATTGTACTTTCAAAAAAAAAATCAACAAAACCTCACCCTAATGAAGTAAGACAACAACTATTTTCCAAATATCTCATTATAAACTGTATTTTTACTGCATTCCCTGCAGTATTTCTGGAGCAAAACTCAGTTTCTGACACCTAAATAATATATGTAAATAACGATGCAAATAAAAGGTTCTAGGTATAGAGCAGCCTCAGTCACATTTGTAATTGCATGTGACAATTTTAAGAGTCCTTAGTAAAAGGAAGATTTTACTTCCATTCTACAAAGATGAACTCAAAAGTATATTACAAAGGAAAGAAATACACATTTCATGATGCTGTTTCAACATTCTATACAATCTACTGCTTACCAGCAATGTAGAGTATAACATCATCCACTTTAGAAGTGAAAATAAAGTTAAAAACCAGTGATTTCCAATGGTTTAGATATTAGAGAACATTTTTTTTTTCAGACTGCACCTTTCCGGTTCCCCCAAGCTAACATGCAGTTTCTACAATCTGTGCTAGTATTGCTGGCATGCCAAAAGTGCAGTGTACACACTAAGATTCTGTATGTGGGGGATTGTTAGTGGTTCTCCTCTGCTGCAGGAAAAAAACAACACAGTCAAGTGCTGTAAAGAAAATGTACACAGGAACCACTCAAAACCACAGACACTGATTGGATCCACTTTACCTGAGACCTATGGCATTGCTTTGGGAATCATTAAAGAAGAAAAAACAAAATCATACATGGAGTTTACTCTCTGAAGAGCCAAGAACCTCACAGAGAAAACAGATTATGCCACCTTACAACACATGCATGAGTTTATTCCTTTTCCCACTGAAACAATTTATAGAACACAACAAAAATGAGACATGGTCTGCAATATTGTTCTTCAATTGTAGCACTGCAATTTCAGCTTGGCAGCACGTTGTTCAAGAAAACCCATGCCAAAAGCACCTGATTTAGGTGATACAGATGACATTTCTGCCATCTGTACTCTCACTCTTTCTCAAGAGAGGCTCAGATATGAAAACGGAGCAGGTTTTGTGCTGGTGGAATTGTCACGGCAGCCTGCTCCCTTGCCTCTTGCACCAGAACACCATGGTCATTTGCCTGCCACACAGTTGGACATACATCCATCACACACCTGGTGTGACCAAAATGCAGTCTGTCACCATGTTTTGGGCATGCACATGTGTGGTGAACAACGTGGACTGGACTGTGCTGCAAGTTTAAATCCCGCACCGAGACCTTGCCCCAGCTCTGCCATCCCCGGTGGAATAAAGTGGTAATGACACATCCTGCATCTTGGTCACAGGAGATTCGTATGACAGGGAATATACCATGGTGATCAACTTTAAAAGGCACCTTTGCCTTATATATAAAAAAAAAAAATTAGATCTTAATGGACTTCTGAATGGGATTTGAATAAAAACATTCTAACAAATGAACAAAACAACTGCAGCTTTTCTCCTGTTCCATTTCCAAGAATGCAGACACATAGACAAGACATTTCCATACACATGAGGGCATCCACTTGTCACAAACTAAGACAACAGGATTACACTCAGAATAGAAGTTATGCCCTTAGATCCATATTTGTTCATGGACATCACATTTATATATTACTGATATCTAACACTTTGAAAGAAATGTGACACAAAATTGAACTAAAGGCGGTAAATCTGCATTAAACAGAAATAAAAGCAATGCTGGCTGTGGTTACTTGAAGTAACATTTATGCTCTATCTCCAGCATGTCCCCATATTCCTCAAGCTACAATAGGTTAAGCAGCATAAAACATCACAACAGGAACAACACAGTCAATATTCTTAACTAGCAAAATGTGACGGACAACACATTCTGTTAGACAAAGTTGGAACAGTATGACTTCAGTGACTCCCAACACAGGAATTTTCAGCCTAGAAAGGTCATTCTTTCTAAATGTGAAAGAACAAGATCAAGGGACACAGGAGGCAATGGATTCAAAACTACAGAAGTGGCCCAGTACTGACATCTTGCACAATCACAGACAGATTTTGTGAACTCCTCACTACCCCTGTTTTTGTCGAATGAGGTGCCTTATTTTCCAGATGCATACTATAAATGCTGGTTAATCACTGTGGAGGACTGTACACATTCAAAGCATTCTATTTTTTATGATAGAAAAGTTTGTGTACCCCAAAATCTTGTCTCTGCCTCAGATATTAATTTGTCTTTCAAAAATTACTATTTCTCCTTAGACTCTTTCTCCCTTCACCTACTAAGCCTACAATAGCTCCACAGAATCTGGGTACGATTACAGAGCTGGGGTGCAAAGATTACTGAAAATGTACCCACTGCCATAATATACTCCTGGATGTTCTTCAGTAAAAGAAGAACAAAAAAGCTACAAAAGCCACAGCAGTATTTCTGACCTGTAACAATAACAGCATTAACTGGTGCCTTCAAAACTGACAAACCATCAACCCAAACTGTAACACCTTTGGGTTCATTTTATCAGAACAAATTGAATGTGAGGATCTCAGAACTGTGTCACAATAGTCTGTTGATTTACAGAGCTGAGATCCCACCTACACTGGGAGCATACACTGATCTCTGCTCAGCTCCAGAGCAAGCACAACTGCCCAGTTTGGTGTAAGTGAACTTGAATGTCTGCATTTCTGCACACTAAGTGCCAACTTAAAAACACAGAGTAAAACTCCTGGTTTATTCAAACACCACCAATGCCCACAAAAATAAGAAGCCTATTTGGAATTTCGTTACTACAAGATCTAAAATTGTATTTTGAGGCAATTGAGTCTCTGTGCTGTCAGTGCAACAGGTTTTGAAGCTGCACACTTAAATACATTGGCGTTCATAAAGACAAAACCTAAGAATATCACTTAAATTTGGACATAATTATTTTTAAAGTTATGTTCTTTTCCCAGAGGACCTGAAAATGTGTTCTTTTTATAGGTAGAATATGTAAGTAGAGAAGTTAAATTCACAGAACAAAAATCAGTGGCAGATTTACAACATAAACTGCAATTTCCTGAGTATTATTCAACTTACCTGAACCAAAAATATAATGAGAAAATAAAAGTTGGCTACTCTTCTGAACTGCTCAAATAAGTTTTTTGGAACAAAATTCCACACTGTATACTGAAAGGAAAAAGAGAGAAGAGCAATTATGACACACTGAACAATTTTTCAATGAAATTCAGTTCCAATCCCATTAAACTCTGTTAACCTAAATCTTTTCATTCTCCATCTCTCCTCCCCCAAACCTGCTCCTGGTCTTGGTCTTCTCCCACACAGAGCTGCTGTATCCAATTTTTGTTGTTTTTATCTCCTTCTGTTTCAAGTACAGCTAAGCAGGGAAGCAGGGGTAGCAACTGCATTGCCAGTAGAGGCCAAGTTTTAAATGTTCTCCTCCCCACTGGGATAGGGGCAGCTGGAGTCATTTGGCTGTTTGCACCCTGGGTAGCAGGGAAGAAATTAAGTCTTGCAGCTGTAACATTCTCTCCAATACCACAGAGACGAGGCACATCCCACCACCAGCTCCACTGATTTCAATCCAAGGACGCACTAGGAGGGAATGTGCAACTGCAGTCCACTGCTGATTTATTTTATGCAGAGTATTAGCTTGCAATTTGGCTACTTTAAAAACCCTCACAACCAGCTTCACCCTTCCTTTTAAGTAGTTTGGTGCATCGCATCCAGACATGACCCAGCACTGGTTTAAACCCTATTTTCCCTTAGAAATCCCGACCAACAGGCTTAACTACTCTGTACTTTAACAGGTTTTGAGGAAAGAAGGATGCAAGGAGAAAAATTACATAGGAAGCAACCCTGCTTTTCCCTCAAAAAAGTTCAGAGTTTGTTTCATTTTGAATATTGTATATGCACCACTAGACATGACACACACGTGCACATTCACCACACAACTTCTTAAATAAGGTATCAAGTGGTTTTCCCATGAGAAATCGATTCCTTACCTTGGATGATATGATTCTGTTGTCTGCAAACTTCTGAGGAACATAATGGCCATGCTGGGGAAAACGATTCGCTATATAAATAGTTCTTGTATCGCTTTGATGCGGTGGGTCAAAACCCTAAAACATAAAGTAAAAAAGAGGTGATCTAGAAAGGCTGTTATTAGCTGCTGGTTTGTAAAACTGTTAACTTTGTGCTGAGAAGTGATATACAGGCATCAAGCAGCAGTTTTAGAATAGTGGTTTTTGAATAGAAAAGAAAATTAATGTATAAAATTAAAATCTGTTTTGTCCATAGAATTTTCAAAAATTGGGAAAAAAACCCTCCCTCAATTCTGAGGTTGTGTACTCATTCTGAAAAATAAAATTAAAAAATCCTGTCTCAAAAAGGAAAGAGATGCAAACTTGAAACCCTGCAAAACTTAAAAACGAAGAAACAGAAACAGAGATGAAAATATAATTAAATTACAAAACCTCACAGCTGTTGCCATAAAACCGATTATTGGGAAAAAAAAAAAGGTCAAACCAAACAAGTTATACTGGTATGCTGTGATAACTGGATTTGGGAAAGATTCTCAACAGCTAAAAACCAAAAGCATATGCATCTGACTAGACAATAATATTTTTCCAAACAGGTTTTATCTCCAAGAACTAACGATTTGTCTAATCTCAAATGTGATTTCCTGTCATGACCACCAAATTCATCCAACAGCTCTGAGTCATCCATGTCATCCCACTGAGGAAAAGGCCTTCAAGTGCTGAGGAGGCTGGAGAAGAAGTGGGAACCACAGCTGAAGCACTGAGAACCAACTGAACACCACCCAGAGGACTGGAACATGAGCCACAAGGGATCCTAAAAACATGGCATATAACGCAAGGCTGAACAATCTAAAAGGCAAAGAGCAAACAAATTAGAGTCATTTAGCCTAGAGGAGAGGAAACTTGGGATATCCTAGCAAATCTTCTGATACATAAGAGACTGTTCCATTGAGAAAACGGGTAATTTGAAGGACAAAGAAGAACAGAGACAAGTAGGCTTAAGCTGCAGGTAGGAAAACTTAGTCTGGATATTGGAAACCAAACCAAAACTCCTTTCTTATGGAAAGGAAGAATTAAAAACCGAAGTAAGTCATGTGGGAACGTTGTAATGTCTCTGTAACACAAGGGTTTGTATCTAGGTCATTCAAGTCTATCTTTAATAGAGCCTTTCCTGGGGCTACATGACTCACCAGAACTCTTCCTAGCAATAATTTTCTGACCTGGACAAGCAGGTGATGCCAAAAGACAACAAACAACACAATAAAACAGTAATAATTCAGACAACAGGCCAAGAAAACTACTAAAATAAAAAGAGGAAAGCTCTAAGACATGAAATAAAACAGGGAAATTAAATTTGGAACTGTTAATTGTTCGATCAGGAATCAGTGACTTGTCTGTGAGGTGGTGAACTGCAGCGCCAGCGTCACACACACTCCTAATCTTAGAACTGACTTTGCACTGTGCCCACAATCTCCTTGCTCTTTGATGCCACGTGAAAGGACAACTGGTGGAACACCTGGAAAGGGCATTACCAATTCCACTCCTGCAGGTGACGAAATGACATTTGCAGTTGTGTTGCTTCACACGTGAAACCAGGCTCAGACCCTGAACCATGTCAAATAAAAACTGACACTTCACAGAACTCCAGAAGATACTTCTGCAGCAGTTAACTATGGATGATAAACAGTGACATAAAAAATGAGTGACATAAAAAATGGTTGGTATAACCCATCAAGAATTTTCTTTAATCCATGAATATCTCTAACACAGGGCAATATAAAGTCTGTTCACATCCAGGATGGTGTCATTTTAAAGTAATGTAATAGTAAAAAGAATCCTCTCAAACATACAAATTTTTGTGTTTGGCATCATTACCAGAGAAACCTTCTGCATCAGAAAGAAAGGGGTCCAGAAAAAAGAAGGGAGAAAGAAAGGAAGGGGAATTTTTCAAAGAGATTTGAAGGAGAACAAACTTTAGATGACAAGCAGTGGAAGGCTGGTCTAGTCACAAGCTCCAGGGTGAAAACTTGTTTAAAGATAAGAGTGGAGCAGGGAGACAAAAAGTAGATAGGAGAAAGGACAGGAAAAAATACATAGGATGCCAAAAGCAAAAAGAAAGGAACTGTTCACAGCTTTAAGAAATATAAGCATGAAAGTAAGATGGAAAAAAAAAAAGTACCTGTTAAATGATGACAAAAAATTTAAAAAGAGAACAGTGTTTGCAGCAGAAGCATTTTGGATACCTGACATTAGTGACACATTACTTCTAAATCAATCCAGAAGATGCCACAAATAAAAGGGTTTTGCAAGCAAGAAAAAATGTGCCTAATTAGTAAGACGAGGTACACAGCTCTCTTCTATCTCAGAAAATGTCTGGCACTCACAAAATGCCAGACATTCTCACTTTGGAAAGTCATACTCTACAGCCTGGAAAAATTCAAACAGATGTAAAGCAAGGAAAAAAAAAAAACCACAGAAAAAGCAAAGAAAACAAGTGGCAGTCTTCTTTCTGACAGTGAAAAATGCTAATCTCCATGCCACTTGCTAAAAGTTATTAATAGATAAATGAAAGATTTCAGAGTGACTACGGTATCACTGAATTTTTTATATGCCCTTTTTAGGCAACTACCTGAGCACCTGAAAGTTGATGAGTTTGATGACATTTTTATTATGAAGAGTAAAGACCTCTGTAGAATTCCAGCCTCACTGCACAAGCACTTCTAGCAGAGAAGAATACATCTGCTGAAGCAGACTCAACTGATTAAAAGAAATCTATTTTCCAAATCAGAATCTCTGGCCATAAAAGTTTACAGGTGCAGCTGTGCAGCTAAAACAGCTTAAAATCGCAGTCTTTACACATTTAATTCCGTTTTGTTGACATTTGCCACAGAAAGCTCAAAAGCTGTGCAGTCAGCAGATCACAGAGCACACCCAAGGCAGGCTGGGGACAAAAACCCTTCAGTTGTCAAGAGCTGTGGTTGGAAAAGGACATCCCTGACAACCTTAGTGACTTGACTGTAGCCACAGCAGGAAATAAGTGTCAGAGCTGGGAACAAACCCCAGATTTCTTAAATTTTATGACTGTGACTTCTAAAGATCACTTGAAACTACCCAACACCCCTGTCATCTCGTCATTAGCCGATCAGACCACAACCAAGCAGATCATCTCTCCAAGAAAAGTTCTGCCCAGACATTGAACTTAATTGTTCAAGAACTGAAATGTCTTTAACACTTCTCTAACTGTGGGACTGGTCACTGAGCCTGCTCCTGACACAACACTGATTTATAGTCCAAATTTCTGCCCAGCAAAGGGATTTTGCACAGGAACTGTACCCAGCCAGCAAAGCAGGCTGAAGCACACTGTTTCCTAATTTCACTTATTAGACAGTTCTCTCTCTTTCTAACGTCATTCTCTAACTCAGCTGCAGAAGTAGGGTAACATGCCCTTGTCAAAGGATTTCTGCAGCTGAACAGCATGAGTAGAAAATCCCTAAATTAAAAGTTTGAGTCTTGCAAAATGATTAAGTTGTCAGCAATACCTTTCAATGAAAGTTAAGTTTTCCTGCAGTTCTCTCGTGAAGTGATTTCTACCCAAGTGCACAGATAACTGATGTCATAACAAACAATGCTGAGTGTATTACAGAATCTGATATTTAAGGCTTCTTGATCATGTATATTACAGGCACATATATTACATGAGTCAGCTTTAAATAAAATTTGACCATAAGATAAAGTGACCCGATTTTCCCCCCTTCATGCTGCAAATTAAATCTAGATTTATTAGCTAAAGCTCAGGCCTTCAGCTGATTTATCAACACAAACCAGGAATTATCTACCCTTGGAATACATCTCTCACTTAATTTCAATCCACACATTCCCAATAGAAGTTCTGCACCCAGATAAACTTCACATATTTGTTTTTGAATATATTTTAAACATATGCCACTTAAATACAATACACACATGCCTGAGTGAAGTTGATTTATACAGCACAAATGAAAGTAACTTTTTGGGAAAAATTGAAAAAGAAGAAATAAGTGATTCATAGTTTTCCTTTTTCATAAATTTGCAATGACTCTAACCAAAGTCGAAGTAGTTTTTACTAAATTCCTTCAGCAGTGATTTTGTTACTGTTCTAAAAGTTAGACAAAGACATCCTCTGTGCAATAATTAGGTCCCTTTAAAACAGCACAGAAAACATACCCCGAGGAACTGAGGAGAAATATTTGACTGCAATTTCATGCAATTTATTTCATGAAAGAAATGGGATTCAACAGCCACCCCCAAATAACCCCTTCCTACATTCTGCCTCCATCTCAACCACTGCACCAGAACTGCCCATGCAGCCATCGGGTAAGGAGGACTGGAAAACTGATCCAACCAAACCCTCACCATTTTTCCCACTTGTTTTTATTTTTCTTTTTTTTAATGTGTCAGTTCCCTAAAACAACTGCATGGTTACACCAATTGCCTGGTGACAAAAGCCTTTACTGTGAAAGAAGAGTTTTATATTGCTGCTGAGGAAGCATTATTAACACAGACAGTGAATTAGGCAACCACAGAGTAAGCAAATGAGAAGCAGCACTACAAAAAGAGACCCTCCCAACACCTGCAAGCGTAAAGGAAGAGAAGAAAAACACCTTCTGTGGTCAACTTGTTGATATAATATATACATGTACTGCAAGACTTTTAATGCTTCACTATTAACATGGGGCAGTGAGCACGTACGCCCTCCCCAGCACTGTGAAGTGAGCCAGCAGAAATCCGTGGATCTTTCAGCAAGGATTAGTGACATGAGACCAGCACACAACAAACCAATCGCTGTGTCAAGCTTTGCAATACAAGCACCGATAATTACAAATCATCTGACAGGCAGCTTTTGCCTGTGACTTGCATAAAGCTGGCATGGTTCAACATCATCTCCCAGGGTTTCTTAGTCATTCCTCACAGCTTTTACAGGGGTAAAAAAAGCAAACTTATATTGGCCAAAAGGACTTCTGCTATGTGACCACTTTTCAGTGAAAGGAGTTTGAAAGAAGGAAGTCTCATTTAGAGCCTCTTCCTCATTTCAAAAACCACAC